GTTCGGCTTTGCTCCCTTTCTTTCTTCAAGCAGATTTCTTTGTGTAGTAAATCCTACATACTTGGCACCTGTAAAGACAGAGCATTGTCATCATTGAGACAGTCCCTTCCTGGTTTATCAGTAGGGGCTAAGGACTGGATGCACACTGGTTTATTATTCCTCAGCCAACCTTAGGGAGAGCGAGACACTGAATCAGGGGTAACTCATTAATATCAATACAGCTAGAAATGGGAGATCTGGGTTTCGAATCTGAATTCTCCGCCCCCGAAGCCACTGCACTGCACCAAGCAGGCGGTGTGGGGGCCCTCACGTTTTACATGAGATCAGCCACACAGACCAGCCCTAGGCCTCTATCTTCCCTCCACCAAGATGCCCTCTGATTGTCTGAGTGTCCAGCGTGTCCCCCATCAGACACATTTGCCTGTTGTCCAGACCTGGTATTGGACAAACACTTTGTGTGTCCATCTCACACACTATTGGGTTGTCAGAAAAGTCATGATGCATTTTGGCATAGGAAAAAAAAAAAAATACATCGTGACTTTTCCGACAACCTAATACGGCCTGTGTGACCACTCAGCTTCCGCCTGCAGGTAACCGTGCAAAGGCGTGTGAAATGCATCTCCCCACTCACTGACTGGTAAGTTGCCTTTATGAGAATGCTGGAAGCTGGAAGAGCAGTCTCAGTCTCATCCTGTAGGTGAGGAAAGAGCTCTGCCGAGTTTGTGAATGGTTCCACTAGGGTAGAGGTTTAACTGGACCCAGACCAGAGCCTATGCCATGACATGTCCCATGTAAAGATAGGGTGCTGGTAGCCAGGAATGGAACAGAACAGCACAGGACGGGCCGTGTTCCACTGGGGCTACCTTGGCCAGCTGAGAACCTGTGACCTGGCCTGCTCCACATGAATGCTGATGAGCAGTGACAACTCTGGGTTCCTGAACTCTTAGCTCTTCACTCTAAGTGAGAGTATTTAGCAGACAGTAATTTCAGATTGGACTCTGGACCTGCAGGCCCTCTACCTCCTGCAACCTTGATCGCCTCCTCTTGGAGAAAGGAAAAGTCAGAAGAAAAGATTGCCCTTAGCTCGTCTCCTGAGTTCTGCTTTTTACTTCCTGCTTACTGATTTCCAAGTCTTTGCTTCTTGGGGGCCAGCGGATGTCGTAGTGGTTAAGGCGTTGGACTCCCACATAGCCAGGTCTAGTCCAGGACCTGACAGCTTGAAACTCATGCTGGGTGCTTGTGCATGTGTGCCCAAAATCCCAAGGGGAGAGTGGAGGAGAGGGGATTGCAGTGTGACCATCTGCCCGGGGGGATGATTTCTCTCTTTCTCTCTGTCTCTGTCTCTCCAGCAGATGCACATGCCCTATAGCAAAACTCTCTCAAAAACAAACAAAAACTCTTTGCTTCTTAGAGGTCCTGGCTCTTGGCCTTAATCCAGCTATAGCGGGATCAGAAAACCACATTCTCTGCTCTCTCCGGAAGCCATGGGCTATGGGAAACCTTTGACATTCAGAGTATCAGAGTAGCCTTGGGTATCCATGCAATGTTGCCAACTGGAGTCAGTTGTTGAATAAATCCACTTTGACTTCTCTCAAAAGAAACTCAAGCAGTTGGGCCAGCTTCGTAGTCTGGTGGTGAAGGGAGCTGGATCCCACAAAGTCAATGGTATAGTTCAAATGTTAACCCCAGTGGGCTGGAAAATGTGCTGAGTGCTTATATGTGTGTACCCCAAATCCCGACAGCATGGAGAAACAGAAATGGGATTGTGGCATGTGCACGCCCCATTCAGGGAGCTTTCTCCTCCCTATTTATCTCTCTCTGGCAAGCGCACTCACCCTCTGGCAAAAAAAAAAAAAAAAAAAAGGGAAAAAGAAACTCAACAGTTCTGACTCTGGTAACTGTTGCTTTTCTTTTGTTTTTGTTTTTATTTTTGCCCTAGGGCACATGCACTCTCTGGAGAGAGTGAGAGAGAGTGAGAGGGAAAGTGAGAAATCACCTCCCAGAAGGAGAGCCACACGCCAATCCTTTCTCTTCCATTCTCCCCCTGGGGTTTTGGGCACGCACACACATGTGCCTGGTGTAATTTTCAAGCCGCCAGGTCCAGACTCAAACTGTGGTTGGTCATGTGGGAGTCTAGCACCTTAACCACCACACCACCTGCTGCCTCCGCTGCTGCTGCTTTATGCAATAAAAAGATAGACAACAACTTGGGAGCTGCTGCTAGAACCTTCCGGTTGGATTCTCCCATGTGTTAATAGCTTCCTCGTCTTGGCAGCTTACTGAGCAATTGTGTAATTTCTGTCTTTGGGCTGCGTTTTATCTAGACATCTGCACATTTAAATGCTGTACACCCATCTGCAGCTGAAGGTAAATATACTTTGAGGCCTTTAAGAGTGTTGCTGCTGCCTCCGTGAGTGATTCACTCTGTAAAGAATGACACGACTGTCAGGAAATGTCACTGAGCATTCCGTGCGTGCTCACTGGGGACAAGCAGAGCTGCCTCCCCTAAGAAGGTCCTTCCAGCTGGAAAAGTGGTCTCAGCACAGCAGTCCCTGTGTCAAGGCAGGGTGTGTGCTCAGCCCCTGTTTCTCAGCTGCTGACATTTTCTCAGGGATAGTTAGCGGGTCTTACTCAGTCCCTTCCCTGTGCCCAAGCGGGCTCCTTCCTTCGGTAAACTGGGACAAGATCACCGGATAGCCAGGCGACCGCGATGACTGGTGGCAGAAGGTGCTGCTGCAAATAGAATGTATCCCTGCCAAAGCTGGTCCTGAAGCTCAGGACGCCTCTCAAAGTGGGAGAGGTATCTTTTTTTCTTCACAGAGATTTTTGCTATAGGGCACGTGCACTTGCCAGAGAGACAGAAAGCAAGAGATTACCACCCCAGGGGGATGGCCATGCCACAGTCCCTTCTCTCAAGATGTTGGGCCTGCAAGCACACGTGCCCAGCATGAATTTTAAGCTGCGGGGTCTGATACTCAGACCGTGGTCAATTATATGAGAGTCTGACAACGTAACTGTTACACCATCTGCTGGTCTTGGGAAAGGTTTTTTTTTTTTAATTATTTTTTTATTACTATTAGGATGATGATGATGATGTTTGCTATAGCGCATGCGCATTCACCACAGAGAGACAGAGGGAGAGAGAGAGAGAGGGAGAGGGAGGGAGAGAGAGGGAGAAAGTGAGAAAGCAAGCCATCAGGTTCAGGACTCAAACCATGGTTGTTCATGGGGAAATCCAGGGCCTTAACCACCACGCCACCTGCTGGCCCCCCAGGAAAGGTTTTTTAAGTAGAAGAGAATGGGCCGAGGAAGAGGAGACATGGCAGGACTTACATCCTTCAGGGCTTCTTCGAGGATCACCACAGAAACATCACACACACCCACCATCCTCTGCCATTACAATTACGTAGTGTCCTCTCCCTCCCCCAGTGGGATAGTGAGCTTCTTGTACTTTTCATCCTAGTGCATTCCAAAGCCCAAAGAGGATAGTTTGATGAGTGTAAATGCCAGGGATTGCAACCGCATTCTGTCTCAGAATTTTGAGTGGCCTCCGATGGCAATGCTGGACCTCCTATAGGAGGTGTTTATTTGTTGCTTGAGAATTCTCAGACCCAAAGCTAATGAATCCTTGGAAAAAGACATTTTTTCTCCTTCGCCCGATCCCAAGGTACTTCCTTTAAAATGTGGGGGGCAGGGGTGTGTGAGAAATAACAACAGTTGCACTAGACAGGAGCTTACCAGGTGAGGTGTCGAGAAGAGAACCCCAGTCCAGTGTGTGTTTGGTTTTAGCATCACTCCTCCACGGTGAGCCTCACAAGGCACCATCCCTTAAAGGCATGTGTCCTTAAAGGACTTAAGCCGTCCCACCTGCTACAACCAACCCCTGAATTTGAATCAATCTTTCTCTCTTTCCTTTTTTCTTTCTTTTTCTTCCTTTCTCTTTTTCTTTCTAAATCTTGCTGTTATCTCTAGAAGGGTAAGTGTGACCGTCCTCAGTAGGCAGTATTTCATGGTCATAACAGCTTTGTACTTCTGACCAGTGTGGGTGATAGTTTGGGAGGGAAGAGATTAACGGTAAGCTTGCAATAAACCCTCCTACCCCCACCTCACTGTGCATCTATGAAGAGACTTCAAAGATTTTGTGTGGGGGGAAAAATGAAATTGAAGTATGAGCTTATTTTTATGCAAAAAATGAAATCCATTTATCTTTTTTTTTTTTTTTGGAGAGGTTTTTGCTATAGGGCGCATGTGTTCACCAGAAGGACAGAGAAAGACAGAGAGACAGAAAGCGAGAAATCATCCCCCAGGGGAAATGGCCACGCCGCAATCCCTTCTCCTCCATTTTCCTCTTCGGATCTTGGGCACGCACGCACACATGCCCGGCCTGAGTTTAAGCCACCTGGTATGGGACTCGAACCATGGTTGACTACATGGGAGTCCAGAGACATAGCCATTAGGCCAACTGCTGGTCCCTGTTTATTTTTTTAATCATAACATCTTCCATGAACTTTCTGAAGACCTCCCTACGTGGTAGCTAGCTGTGTGTGTGTTTTCTGCCTGCATGTGTAGCCGTGTCTCCCTTTGCACTAGAACTGGATACTTGCCTTAGTCAATGAAGCCCTTGACTAAGGACCACAGTTACCCCCTAGACCAGAGCAAAGGGAACTAATCACCTTCTAAGTTCATATTACTTAGAAGTGAGTACTTGGCTGCTTCTACCAGTGTCTTTCTCTCTGTGACCACCTTTTCCCCTCTTCCACACCCATACCAACCCTGAGCTCCTCTCTCTATTCTCCCGTGTGCTTAGTAGGATGATTTTTACCTGTATAAACAGAAGAGTCACTTTAAGGAGAGACCATCTGACTTGTAATAATTTCACAGCACAATAAAAGCCCCACTCTAAGACCCTGGCAAGAGACCTCTTGCAGAAAGACAACCTCTATGTCCAAAGGAAGGCTAGATTCTTTGACACTAATATCTGTATGTTTCCGTCCCTGCAGCCTTAGGAAAATCCAAAGGTACGGTATCCTCTGGTAGTTACGAGGCCGTGTTCCAGCTCTTAAACTGAGCCAGCTATGTCGTAGTGAGCTCTGTGACAGGGCGAATGCGCCTCGTGTGGTTGCTTGGCCGACTTATTTGAAGCTGTGTGCCCATCATGACAGTAGAGTCAGAGCGCAGAGGGACCAGAGGCATGAGCGGCCCCTTCCCTGCGTGCAGACCAGCGGGCGTGGCCTGCAGAGGTTATGGCGTGGTGGGGTCTCAGCCGTGATGGAGCTATGGCTGGACCTCCAGTTAAAACAGAAGGGTGTATATTTCAGTGTCTCCTGCTGGTCGGTTCCATGTTCTGGCGTGACGCTGCAGGTCCCTGTCCCACCCATCTCGCTCTTGCACTTGGGAGGAGCGAGTGCACCCAACCCCACATTGGCCACCGCCACGTTCCCGCACCAGGAAAGCTTGGATCCCACAGCCAGGGAGCTTGGCGGGCCATTATCCTAAGCCAGCTGGCTTGGGCGGAGGGCTGTAGTGCAGCTTGGCGACTCCCAAGCTATGGCACTGTGCTCTGCTCCCTGCCTGGGAGAGAGGGCAGCCCCAGCCAGCCAGGGCATAGTCGCTGCCCAGCATCGCTTCCCTGCCCAGGCCAGGGTGCTAAGGCTGCGTTGCTCTCCTAACACAGACCTGCTTGAATGTTACCGCTTCGTTGGGGAGGGAGCCTGTCACCTGTCACGCGTAGCTAAGCAGGTGTCTTTGTGTCCCTCGCCAGCATGGGTGTGAGGGTCATGGACACCTCCTGGGTGGCTCGAAGAGGCTCCTCTGCCGGCCGGAAAGCATCCTGCGCCCCGCCCACCATGCAGCCTCCCGCCCCGCCTGCCGAGCTGGCCGCGCCCCTGCCTTCACCCCTGCCGGAGCAGCCCCCGGACAGCCCCGCAACTCTTCCGGCGCTTTCTCCATCTGGCCCTGGCCTGCAGCCGGGGGCTGAGCGGACCAGGTAAGAGGCTCGCATGCGATGCAGAGGGTGCCTGGATTTGCTGCGCCCTCTTCTGCCTCTTGGATTTGATTACATCTTGCCCCTGTGCCTGAGAATTCCTGCTCAGCTTTCTGCATAAGCCATCACAGCGTTCTGGATATCACATAAGGTCCAGGCCTCCAGGAATTGGGTCCGTAAGCAAATTAGTAGCTCCCTGAGACAGTGTAAGGGAACGGCACGCTCCCTCGCTCCTCCTTTCCTCCTTCCTCTGCTGTTGTAACTACTCTATTTTGGAGTTTAGAAATTCAGTGTTTCTCTTCTTGGAGCAGCTGTGTTGCAGCTGAAATGGGCACAAAACTGAAAAGGAGAGGAGGTGTGCTAGGGACATCAGCCTTCAAACCTTTGTATCTGCTCCGTGTTTATATCTTCATTCTTCTATGGAAAGAAAAAAATTCAGGTTCGGTCCATTGCTAGTTCAGGGATCGGTGACAGAACACTTTCTCTGTCCAAAGGTAGAAAGAGAGGAGAATTGCCTCCAAGGAGTTTGGGCTCAGCAAATCGCCCAGCAATGACAGAAGTTTGCACCACTCAAATCTGCATTCTCAAAGTTGCCCTGGAAGGAGGTGGGACCAGGCTCTCCCTTGAGAAGCAAGGTTGGAGGAGGGGAATTCTGGAAGTGGGGATTGCATCTGGAAAAAACGCTCCTGTTTGTTTCTCTCTGTTCTCCAACAGCAACTCCAAACAGGAGAGCAGCTCCTTCTACTCCGCGCTGTCCTGCCTTCTGTTGGGACACATGGCTTTCCCCCAAAGTCGTTGCCAGGACGATTTTGGAGACTTAGGGACTCTGATCCATGTCTTTCCCAAAGCACATGAACACACAGCCACACATTCTTACGAGCCTTCAGCAGCAGCACACTTGCACGTATATACTCAGCATTCTCAATGAGATTTTGAACATCTTTTTCCCTTAAAATGTAGAAGGTCTCTTCCCTGTGAAATTGGAAAATAGCAAAGGGAAAAGAGGCTCACCTGAGAGTTGGGGGATGAGCCCTTGGCACTGGGTGTGCTGGGGCTGTCACTCATGGTGTGTCCAACTGAGAAAGGATGCCTGGCTGCTCTTGCTGGGCTTCAGGTCACCTTGAGAGATACGGAGAAGGCGGAGTTCAGTGGAACAGCAGAGCCGGATGGTGGAGGGCCAGCAAGGCTGACCAGAGACAGAAGGCACAGATAGGAGATGGGCTAGGACATTTCCCTCTTAGCACACTCTCTGCTTCATCTTGATCTCCCATCTTATAAAACAGACTTGCCACCTTGCAATATTTTGCATATCAAATGATATTTCTAACACATGCCCTGTCAAGGGGAGAGGGTTCCCCCAGGCTCTGAAGGTGTCCCAGGGACAGTGTGGATAGGTGTCCTTGTAGAGTCACCCATGGCAGGACAGTTGCCCAGTCGGTCCCATTGCTCTGTGGCGACATCTCACGCCTGCCCCTTGCCATGGCTTAAGGTTCTTGCAGCTTTTCTGTGGATGTAGGGGTTCTTGTCTCTCCTGCAGCTCTGTCTGTCCCCATGTGATTCTCCCTCATACGTGTGGGTGTTCCATTGTTTTCCTTTGTTTCTGTTTCCTGGACATTTGCAGCGCAGATGATGTGGCTTCTAGTTCTGGATTCCTATTAGGGCTCCTCCTCCCAACCATGGGCCCTGCCTTCAGCTCCTGCCCTTCCAGGCCCTGCCCAGCTGGGATAGGCTTCCAACTCCTGCTCAGCTGCTTGGCATCATGGTAACCCCACACTCTGCCTCCTGCCCCTGGACACCCAACACACTAACTGGTCCTATGTTCCCAGAACCAAACTGTCCTCAAACGATCCTCAGTCATCTAGCTCCTGGCAATGACCTTCCACCTCACCCCTCCCCCTGGGTCACTGCACCCAGAGGAGCACGGCTGAGGAGGTGAATGCTTGCTTGCTGGGGAGGTGTAGCAGGTGAGAGGGAACAGAGGAAGCACATGCCTAGATCCCTTGGTTTCATGCTTCATCTGTCCAAAGGAAACAGGAAGAAGCCATCTTTTGGCTTGGCGGTTTTGCTTTATCTTCTTGATGGCACAGAGACAGATGGGAAGGTCGATACTTAATTGGCATTGATACCTGAGTTCCTGGTGACCTTGAGCCTGAGGAAGAATAAAAGATAAGCCCTTGTGCAGCCTGAGAAGGGCAAGTTTTTTTTTTCTTTTTTTTTTTTAAGAATTATTTTATTATTTAACTTTATTTGCTTATTTTAATTTGACCAGAAAAGGACAGAGAAAGAGAGAGAGTGAAAATGAGAAAGCAAGCCACTAGGTCCAGGACTCAAACCGTAGTCAGCCTGGTGAGAGTCCAGCACCCTTAACCACCATGCCCCCTGCCAGCCCCAGCAAGAGTTTTCTGTTCTTTTTTTTTAATTGCCAGACTAGAGATAGGAATTGTTGCTCTTTTAGTTCCTCTGGAGGAAGTGAGATGTCCCCTAGGGCGATGCCCTGGGTGCACTGTGAAACCCCTCTTGAGAGCGAGTGACTGCGCTCCTACTCGGACACGGTCTCTCTGTCCTCCATCCTGTGATGTCTGCCATCCAGGGCTTCCTGCTCCCGGCCTTTGCTGCCATCCCTAGGGGGTTGGAGGAGTATATTTCTGTTGGCATTTCCTCCAAATTAATATTGGGAGGTTCTAGATACAGTGAGAGAAGAAATAGGCTGTGGCTGTTTTTTTGGGGAGGAAGAAACAGCCATTGCAAAGGATTTAGGCTTGTATAATCCTCACGCCCCACCTGAGGACATCGGGACCCAAGTATGTCCATCTAGGGTAACAGATACAAGGAAACCTGACAGAGGCCGTGGAAAATGCTCCCTATGATAAAATGATGCATGGATTTCAAAATGTTTCACACCTTCACACCCAAGTGAATCCGTCTTTTAACCCCATGTTCACAGTTTTTTTGTCTGTAGTTTGTGATAGACGATGTGTGCTCACCAGGAGGACAGTGAGAAAGCACCCCCTCGAAGGGACAGCCGTGCCGCAATCCCTTCTCCGTTTTTCTTTTGGGGTTTTGGGCATGTATACACATGAGTCCAGCCATTTTTTTCAAGCCATCGAGTCTAGGACTTGAACTGTGCAGTCAGCCATGTGGGCTCCAGCTGCCTTAACCACCAGGCCACTGGCTGGCACTTCCTAGACTTTTTGAGTCTCACTGTAGCTCCCAATTCCAAGGTGTCTGCCCCGATTCACTAGGGCTACCTGGGGCGTTTTGCTGAAAAGGAGTGAGAACATGGGCAGGGGTGGGGCACGTACGGAATATCTACCATGGAAAGTGCGTTGGGGCCGGGAGGGAGCAAGCCTGCCGGCCATTTACTATCCCTTATTTTTCGGAGTCAAGTTGAGTGGCTCCTAACAGGCGCGTTATCGTGAGGGGTAGCCTAGGAAAGAGCCTAGCTGTGGAGGGTGCACCTTCTTGGGGGCTGGGTGACGTCGGTTGTTCCTTTGCAAATTGGAGGGACTCCAGAGACCCACATTCCCCACTTCCATGCACTCTCTTCGTCCTCGAAGCCTGGAGGACTGGGGCTGGAATTGGCCTGAATTCAGGAGCACAGGCCCGGTGTATGTCACCCCACCATCTACAGGAACCTGTTAGTGATGATGGGTCCCAGAATCCCTCCCCTGCTCGGAACATGACGGGGGCTCTGGTCTAACAGCGGGCGAGCTGGAGTGCCATGAGCCCATGTCATCTGCCCTTGCTGGGTACAGTAAGGACTCTCTCAGCTCTGGTGTGCTGTGGCTATCGAAGGGACAAGGACACTGCAGCGTGACAGTTTCAGAATGTGCTGGAATTCCCATGTTGAGGATGGCCCATGGTGGGACGTGCAAGGACCCTGCCCTCACATTGCTTATGGTCACTTAGGAGGACAGAGGAGTGAATAGGACCCTAGCAGTGAGTACTGAGTGCCACAGAGATGGCAGTGGGACATCAGACCTCTGAGAAGGGGCAGTCACCTCACAGGATGCTTTCGAAGGCTTTCAGAAGGGATAGAGACAGACCAGAGCTGGTACAGACTTGTGCGGGCCCAGGACACACCGAATTGCCGTTACCAAGGCTGGTGCTGAAATCACCTGATCTCAGCGGCTCTTTGTTCCATGTGCTTGTGTTCCAGCACTCCTAAAAGCAAGGAACTTTCTCCCGGGTCTGGGCAGAAAGGAAGTCCAGTCTCCGGCCAGGGAACAGCCTGTGCAGGGACACAACCGGGGACACAACCAGGTGCCAGCCCCAGCCAGCCACCTGCAGACCAGAGTCCTCACACCCTCCGGAAAGGTACGTGACGTCCCTTTGCACTGTGGGTAGCTGTCACTCCCTGAAGGCTCGGAGTCCCTGGTTACCATGGCATTTAGAACCTGGGTAGTTTAGTGACCAGTGCCTCCTCAGGGCAGCAGAGCTTCTAGAAGTTAACCAGTTCCTGAGGTCAGCTGGTTAGTGTAGGGGTTAAGGCGACTGGGTCCCATGTGACCAACTGCACAGCTTGAGTCCCAGACCCTGCTGCTAGAAAATCATGCCGGGCGCATGTGTATGTGTGTCCAAAATTCTAAAAGAAGAATGGAAGAAAAAAGATTGAAGCATAACCATCCTCCCTAAATGGTGCTTTCTCACTTTCCCTCTCTGTCTCTCTCTGGAGAGTTTATGCACCTTATAGCAAAACTTTTTTAAAAAGAGTTAAAGGGCCAGCAGGTGGCATGGTGGTTAGAGTGATAGACTCTCACATGGCCAACCAAAGTTCAAGTCCCAGACCTGGCAGCTTGCTTTCTCACTTTCCCTCTCTCTCTGGTGACTATAGCAAGTTAAAAAACTAATAGTAATAAAGAAATGAAGGAAGGAAGGAAGGAAGGAAGGAAGGAAGGAAGGAAGGAAGGAAGGAAGGAAGGAAGAAAGGAAGGAAGGAAGGAGAAAAAGTAAGTAAGTTAGTCCCAAGAGGGATCATTTCACCATTATTCCTCAGTTTACTCATTTGAAAAATGGGTTCATTAGTATCCTGTGTAGGAACTGCTTCCCGAATACCAAATGATCCCACTAGTCCAAACCCATTTTCCAAGGTGACATCTGTCTCTCGTGAGCCATGGCAACCCTACCTCCAGCATTTGAAAAGGTGGGTGGTTCATCTACGAGAGGCCCCTGCTCCCAGTGTGAGCTTCCCATGACTGTCTACCCCAGGACTGTTTGTACAAGGTAGCCGAAAGGACAGAGACAAGACTGTTCCTGGATGAGTCTTGGCCTTTCTCCTGTTCTGGGAAGCCTGAGAATTGCTCCACTAACCATGAGCACCCCGGCCCTGAAGTCTACATCTGTAACACACTGTAGAAGGTCTAGTTACTCTGTCTGCAGAGAACCACTCTCAAAAGCTATAGACATGAACCCTGGTGACTTTCACAAATGGGGTACTGTACTGTGTACTTACACAGACCTTTTTAGTTTTGCTTTCCCTGGAATCATCTCTTAACAGACTTTAACTGGTCCAACATAGTGTCTTCAAAAAGTGCATGGACCTTTTTATCTCCAGGAAGTGGTAGGGTTCGGTTAGAGTATACAGCTATGTTTTGTGCACTAAAATGATAATTGGGCCAAAATTTATCGACCTAACTAAAATGCAGGAGATTCAAGACACTTGTCACAGTGGTAGATCTGGATCAGCTTTGAAAATCGTTGGCTTGTTGGAACAAGGAGGTGGTGTAGATGTTAAGACACTGAACTTCCACATAGCCGAGCACAGTTCGAGTCCCGGACCTGATGGCTTGAAACTCATGCCAGCTATGTGTGTGTGGAGAAGGGATTGTGGCATGGCCATCTCCCCTCAAAGTTATTTCTCACTTTCTTTCTCTCTCTCTGTCTCTCTGGCTAGTACATGTACCCTAAGGCAAAGTCTAAAAAATAAAATCTTCAGTCCGTAAGCCCATGTGAATTTAGGTGTTCATTAAGTTCCAGGATGGTCACGTGCAGCCCAAGACCCTGGGTCCCAGCACATGTGGGCTGTGGACCCTTGGGAAAAGGGTCAGTGCGCCAGATGATTGCTATGCAGAAGGGCATTAGTTCCACCATTGTTGTCATGTGGCCTCTTGGGTCTCCTCAGTTACTGTTCATTAATGCCATAGCACACTAAGAACTACTAAAGTTTGATCCAAAAGGCAGCAAGAAGTCCAGCTCGATAGTCTTTGACATCCTGCAGTGGATCACCAAACTTAAATCTTAGTTGAGGCATTGGGCGTTTCAAGTAATGTTCTGGAAACTAAGGTGGTACTGCTGTGCGTGGAGTCATTTGGGGCACTGTGGGGTTCCACAGTCTTCCTTTCCAGACTCAGGATTTCAGGTAGGTGACCCAGAAGAAACTACATCTTGACAGTAGGGACCGACAGGGAGCGTAGTGGTTAAGACGCTGGACTCCCACATGGTTGAGTGTGGTTCAAGTCATAGACCCGGCAGATTGAAACTCGTGCTGGGCACGTGTACATGCATGTCCAAAAATTCTGAGAGGAGAATGGAGAAGAGATTGTGGTGTGGCCATGCCCCTGGGAGTGTGCCCTATAGCAAAGATAACTCTCCAAAGAAAGAAAGTTGAATATAATGGGACATCAAAAAAGTTTATAGGAAAATGGAATCGAAGTCTGTATGAGTTGATTATTGGTGCAAAACAGTTTCGAAATCCACACATGGCTTTTTCATGATAAGCATTTTCCATGAACGTGTTGAAGATCCTGCCCTCGTAGGAGTTGGGCCACAGAAAGAAGCTGGCATTCAGAGCTTTTCTTCAGCAGAGATTTTCCTTGCAGTCCAGGGACCCCAGTTCTCTGGCACATCTTTCTATAGGGGTTTTCATCCCACCTCCAGCCCTACAAGATCTGCTTCCTTCTGTAGCCTCTTGGCTTCCTAATGCCAGTGACAGGTTTTCCCTCTTGGGTTTTTTTTCCCCCCCAAGAATTATTTATTTAGTTTTATTTACCATTATTTATTATTTATTTGTTTATTTTAATTTGCTGCAGGGCACATGCACTCATCAGAGAGAGACAAAGACAGAAAGAAAGCAAGGTCCAGGACTCGAACCATTGTAAGCCATGTGGTTGTTTTTCTACGCAAAAATGTGCCGTGACTTTGCCAACAAACCATTATTTCTGGAGGGTGCATGCACTCGCCAGAGAGGAACAGAGAGAGGGAGAAAGCACCTCTCAGGGGGGCAGGGTCATGCCATAATCCCTACTGCTCCATTTCTGGATCCCACCAGGATTTGGGGCACACCTGCACATGTGCTGGTGTGTTTTTCAAGGAGCAGCGCTAGGATTCAGACCACAGTTGGCCATGTGAAAGCCAGCTCCCTTAACCACAAGGGTAGGGGCCAGCCAAGTGTATCCTTTCTTGTTCACAGTGCAGACTGAACAAGCCAGGGAAACACATACAGCTTCGTTAGTGTATGAGGACTTCAGAAGTTCATGGAAAAGTAGTCTTTATTTTGACGCAACTATTTCAGAACTGCAACCATTATTTTTTTATAATAGCCATTTTTCATGATCTTTCCGAAGACCGCTGTAGAGTTTATCCCATGGAGGGAAGTGGGGGAGATGGAAAACTGAAGGAAGAGTCCCTGATTCCTCCCTGAGGACTTAAAAGACACTTTCTTCTAGAAGCAGTGCCACTCACAGCTAGCCTTCGCTTAATTCTTTTTTGTTGTTTGTTTTTAGAGAGGTTTTTGCTATAGGCACATGCGCTTGCCAGAAAGACAGAGACAAACAGAGAGACAGAAAGTGAAAAATCACCCCCCAGGGGGTATGGCCACACTGCAGATCCCTTCTCCATTCTCTTCTTGGGATCTTGGGCACGCACGCACACATACCCGGCATGAGTTTAAGCCACCGGGTCCGGGACTCGAACCGTGGTCGAGTACATGAGAGTCCAGCGACATTACGCCAACTGCTGGTCCCGCCTTCACTTAATTCTGATAGAATAATGCTCACTGTCTCAAGACACTTTCTCATCACCCAGACTTCCTGGATATCTGACTATATCGTCTACCAGTCATTTTCAGGTAAAGATGTAATGCGTTTGTCATCCTTGAGACTGAGTAGGTAGCAAAGAGGAAGATGAAGGCAATGCCAAAGAGGCTGAGGCTTTGAATGATGGGCTTTGAAAAATGCAGTCGATCTGGACATGCTCACACCCAGAGGGTACAATTCTTGAAAGGAAAAAAAAAAAAGAACAAGAAAAAAGCCTCTGAGGCAAGTACGCAGGACTGAGGCCATGAGCAGACAGTGATGAAGACACGGGATTTGACCACAGGTCACTGTGGGAGCCACAGCCGCCGGGCAGGGTCTGCCAGAATCCGTTCCCCATCCCGAGGATCCACCCACAGGTCAGGGCTCACTGAGACCAGATGAACTCGCATGCTCCTGTTAGACCCAGCCTCTGACTCGCTCTTCCTGAGAGTGTAGCAACAACACCTCTTTCCACTGGGAAACCAGCCTGCCGCCTGTGGTTGGGAAGTCTGCGTCCTGTTTGGCTCGGTGCGTGTGTAGATTGTGGCAGGAATCCAGAAAAGAGGAGGAAAATCGGTGAACAGATGGAAAGACATGAAAACTTGCAGTTTTAGGTTAAGTGTTTTTTAAATTTTTTTAATTATTAATTTTTTTGGGAGAGAGATTTTTGCTATAGGGTGCATGTGCTCACCAGAGAGACTGGAAGTGAGAAATCACCCTCCCCCCACCCAGGGAGGATGGCTACTCCACATTCCCTTCTCCTCCCATCTCCTCTCAGGATTTTGGGCACACACACGTGCTTGGTGCGAGTTTTAGGTCTCCAGGTCTGGGACTTGAACCACAATTGGCCACCTCTGGGAGTCCAGCGACAACCTTTATGCCATCTGCTGATCCCTTATTATTTCATTTTTTACAGATTTGCAGTAGGGCACGTACACTCATCAGAGAGAGGGAAAGTGAGAAAGCAAGCCCCCACATCCGGGACTCGGATCACGGTTGGCCATGTGGGAGTCCAGCGCCTTAATCACCATGCCACCTAAAAGGGCGTCTGCTGCTGTCACTGCATCAAAAGGCTAGGGGCAGGGAGGCGGGGATGGCAGGGTAGGAGGTGGGGACAGTGGAGGGTGTGGAGGGTGTGCTAGCTGCCAGCGGACGGCGCCCTTTAACAGCCTGTGTTTGCTATTGTTGTCATGTTGTGTTTTCTCTTTCAGTGTCAAAGAAGCTGGCACCAATTCCACCCAAGGTCCCCTTTGGCCAGCCGGGGTCTGTGACTGACCAGTCCACCGGCCAGCCATCCCCAGTCAGCTTGTCTCCCACCCCACCAAGCACCCCTTCACCCTATGGACTGAGCTACCCTCCGGGCTACTCCTTGGCCTCCGGCCAGCTCTCCCCAGCGGCCGCTCCGCCCTTGGCCTCTCCTTCCGTCTTTACAAGCACTTTAACCAAATCGCGGCCCACCCCCAAGCCCCGACAGAGACCCACTCTGCCGCCCCCGCAGCCTCCTACGGTAAACCTCTCCGCCTCTAGTCCGCAGTCCTCGGAGCACCCCGTGCTAGATGGCATGTCCCCTGGGGAAAGCATGTCTACAGGTAACCAAGCCCCAGCTCCCTCTGCGGTTTCTCTGCACCATAGCGTGGGCAGAAGGGAGGGACTGTCAGGGCATGCCATTGACTGGGCACCTGTCTGCCCTGAGGTGGCTGGGCCACTGCCCTGGGGAGCTTAGCAGCCAGTCTCAGCCCCTGTGGGAAGCAGCCCAGAGTCAAGCTGCCCTGCAGAGGCACTTCCTGTGGGATTTCTCGCGATCAGCGTGTACAGCCCAGGCTTCTGTTTTCTGCTCTGATTTTCATTGTTGAGCACCCCAAGTCCTTGGGAGTGGCCTCAGGGGAGGCTGCAAGCTGGTTCCGACCAGAACAACTGGCATCCAGACAGGTGAGGTACTGGAGGTGTTCCCTAGGCAGGTAGACGGTACACATGCTCACCTGGAGAAGAGGGGCTGAGAACTTTCTTCCCTTATCAGGAAAATAAGCCTCGTTGGAAGGTGCATTTCTTGATAAATACCCTTGGGGGCCAGTTCCAGAAGTGCTGTGTGCCTTCGGCCGGCCACCACCATGGGTTCCTCAAGGAGCCCGCGGACAAACCCATGATTTGGTTTAGTTTTGCTTTAAATTTAAAAACAAAGATGGAGCTGTCTTCCCTCAGGAAAACTTATAAGCATGAAATCACACACAGATGCCACGCTCAGCAGAAACCATTCATTGTTTGGAAGAAACGAAGCACTTGGAAATGTCTCCCTGGACACTGACTGCGTGAGACGGAGGTCAGGGGCCTGTTGCCAGCCTCCTGTCTCCTCACCGGGGAGGCAAGCGTGGTGGCTGTCACAGAGCAGGGTGGCCTTTTAGCCCCTGGAGCCTGGGGGTGTCTGTTTAATGCCAAATGGCAGAAGGTGAGGTAGCTTGGGGTAGAATAAATGCACATGTGCACACGCTCATACACACCACACACACACATGCCCACGTACACCCACACCACATATATAGACACAGACACACACACCCCTGCATACACCGTACGTGCATACATACGCCCACATGTGCACATGCTCATACACACCATACACACACATATGCCCACATACACCCACACCACATACAGAGACACAGACACACACACCCTGCACACACCATACATGCATACATATGCCCACATGTGCACACGCTCATACACACCACACACACATGCCTGCATACACCCACACCACATACAGAGACACAGACACACACCCCTGCACACACTGTACTTGCATACATATGCCCACATATACACACGCTCATACACACCACACACACATGCCTGCATACACCCACACCACATACAGAGACACAGACACACACCCCTGCACACACTGTACTTGCATACATATGCCCACATGTGCACATGCTCATACACACCATACACACACACATATGCCCGCATACACCCACACCACATACATAGACACAGACACACACCCCTGCACACACTGTACTTGCATACATATGCCCACATGTGCACATGCTCATACACACCATACACACACACATATGCCCGCATACACCCACACCACATACATAGACACAGACACACACACCCCTGCACACACGTACATACACACATCATGCCACCCACATACAAACCACACAACACCACACATATGCACACTACACATGCATATACCATAGACACATATCACACCACCCCACACACAAACACCACACATGTGCACACTAAACACGCATATACTATATATATACACACCATGCCACACCACACACAAACCATACAAATACCATACATATGCATACTACACACACGTATACCATTCAGACACACATCATGCCACCCCACATACAAACACCACACAGGCACACTACACACACGTATACTATACGGACACACATCACACCACCCCACACACAAATACCACACATCATAGATACACACCAGTCGTGTATCACATATGCACATGCACACATACACACACCAGACACCATCTCCTCTCCTACCTCCCACAGGCACCACACACACACACACACACACACACCCCTTCCATCTCCACAGCACACCGCAGCCACTCACAAAGCCCTGGCCGCGCACACACCCCACACGTACAGCTATCACACACATATCGCCCGGCATCCCGAGCCCCTCACACACACACACACACACCCCTTCCATCTCCACAGCACACCGCAGCCACTCACAAAGCCCTGGCCGCGCACACACCCCACACGTACAGCTATCACACACATATCGCCCGGCATCCCGAGCCCCTCACACACACACACACACCCCTTCCATCTCCACAGCACACCGCAGCCACTCACAAAGCCCTGGCCGCGCACACACCCCACACGTACAGCTATCACACACATATCGCCCGGCATCCCGAGCCCCTCACACACACACACACACCCCTTCCATCTCCACAGCACACCGCAGCCACTCACAAAGCCCTGGCCGCGCACACACCCCACACGTACAGCTATCACACACATATCGCCCGGCATCCCGAGCCCCTCACACACACACACACACCCCTTCCATCTCCACAGCACACCGCAGCCACTCACAAAGCCCTGGCCGCGCACACACCCCACACGTACAGCTATCACACACATATCGCCCGGCATCCCGAGCCCCTCACACACACACACACACCCCTTCCATCTCCACAGCACACCGCAGCCACTCACAAAGCCCTGGCCGCGCACACACCCCACACGTACAGCTATCACACACATATCGCCCGGCATCCCGAGCCCCTCACACACACACACACACCCCTTCCATCTCCACAGCACACCGCAGCCACTCACAAAGCCCTGGCCGCGCACACACCCCACACGTACAGCTATCACACACATATCGCCCGGCATCCCGAGCCCCTCACACACACACACACACCCCTTCCATCTCCACAGCACACCGCAGCCACTCACAAAGCCCTGGCCGCGCACACACCCCACACGTACAGCTATCACACACATATCGCCCGGCATCCCGAGCCCCTCACACACACACACACACCCCTTCCATCTCCACAGCACACCGCAGCCACTCACAAAGCCCTGGCCGCGCACACACCCCACACGTACAGCTATCACACACATATCGCCCGGCATCCCGAGCCCCTCACACACACACACACACCCCTTCCATCTCCACAGCACACCGCAGCCACTCACAAAGCCCTGGCCGCGCACACACCCCACACGTACAGCTATCACACACATATCGCCCGGCATCCCGAGCCCCTCACACACACACACACACCCCTTCCATCTCCACAGCACACCGCAGCCACTCACAAAGCCCTGGCCGCGCACACACCCCACACGTACAGCTATCACACACATATCGCCCGGCATCCCGAGCCCCTCACACACACACACACACCCCTTCCATCTCCACAGCACACCGCAGCCACTCACAAAGCCCTGGCCGCGCACACACCCCACACGTACAGCTATCACACACATATCGCCCGGCATCCCGAGCCCCTCACACACACACACACACCCCTTCCATCTCCACAGCACACCGCAGCCACTCACAAAGCCCTGGCCGCGCACACACCCCACACGTACAGCTATCACACACATATCGCCCGGCATCCCGAGCCCCTCACACACACACACACACCCCTTCCATCTCCACAGCACACCGCAGCCACTCACAAAGCCCTGGCCGCGCACACACCCCACACGTACAGCTATCACACACATATCGCCCGGCATCCCGAGCCCCTCACACACACACACACACACACACACTCTCCCGAGAACAGTGCTGTCCCAGGCCCAAGGCTCTGGTGGGTGTCTCATGAGTTTCACACTCCCCACATCCTCCTCCAGAGGGGCCGTGTTCCCTCGCCTGGGTTCGGCTCCTCGCTGCTGTGGAGAGGCTGGTCACGTTTGCGAGTGTTTGTGCTGGGTCAGGAAATCCAAAGATGGGGAAGAGCCAACCTGCGATCTGGTTTCCTTATTTATTCTGGGATGTGATGATTAACGGTGAATATGCAGCTGCTGCCTTCTACCCCGAGGCTTGTCAGAAATTCCTCATTGGAAGACGCTCTTTCCCGAAAGCTGACAGGAGCACCACCTCCCCGAAAGCTGACAGTAGCACCACTTCCCTGGTGGTGGTTCTTAGTGGTGGGGCAAGTTTCCTGATGGGGCAGGCGGCGGGTGCTGCCTGCAGGTGCTCTGGGTCACTCAGAGCTCCTTCCACCACATCACATCTGCCCAGCACATCCAGGAGGGGACACAAGGTGGTGTCCAGTCAGCGGTGGGAAGAGCAGAGGGAGCAGAAGAGAGGTCTCAGGAGGCGTGGAGGGATAGCACCCTGGGCCTCCCCCATCAGTGGGGGAGCAGTTCAGGTTACAAAACCCCAGGCTGCAGTGAGCCGCACCCCCTGCACTCCATCCTCTGCAAGTCCTGTGTCGTGTGACGTTCTCCGGCAGCAGACTGTCCTGTCCCGTACGTACACACAGGTCTCTGAGTCAGTGGAGCATCCGTCATGGTGTGGCCCTCCTGGGACTGTGATACTTGGCATAGTTTTTTTGTTACATTGTTTCATCATGTTTTATTCCTCTCTCCGAATCCTATCATTGTGTTCTTGCAGCTGTGTGACTTGAGGGACGCAGTTTTGGATACGTGTGAGGGGGATGTTCAGGGTAAGCTGGCCCCAGCCTTGTCCCCTCTCCACCCCCCCACCCAGTGAGCCAGGCCAGTCACCCACAGCCACCCGCCTGCCCGCGGCCAGCAGCCCCCTCCTCCTCTCTCTGCATGTGGCTCAGCCCCAGCGCATGGCTGCTTCTCTGACCAGCCTTGTCCGACCTCAGCAGAAACCATCTGGTCTGTGAGCCCTCTGGGCTTTTGGGATCACTGGCTTTTGTCCTTTCATTCATTAGAAGATGAGGAAGAACACGTCAAGCAACTTAGCTCACTTCCCCCAACCCCTCTTTGCCTAGAGTCCTCACCCTCCCACAGCTCCTCTGCCCCTCCAGCTTAGAATCTGGAGGGGAACAGCCCTGCCCTCCACGTGCAGTGCACCATCTGGAGGCTGTGCCCAGGGCCCCAGCGACCGCTGTCCTGCACACCTTCATCTAGGAAGGCGGTGACCTGGCGGGGCCAGCCCAGGGCTTGCCACCATCGCCTGCCACCTGTCCTCTGCAGCCATGAGTTGGAGCAGATCCATCTGTCAGACTGAACTTTAGACTCTCTTCCTGTGGGCTGAGACAGCTGGCAAGTCCCGAGGTCCAGTTAGAGCTTCCCCGCACTCCCCTGGCCCATCCCTGACGTGTGTGGCAGCCTCATCCATGCTCCACTCCGTAAACTATTCAGGGGGCATCCGCTCAGCTCCTCCTCCCAGAGAGGAGATGCTCCAAACTGAAGCCAAGGCCAGAACATTGAGCCTGAAGGAATGAGGTGCATCTGCCTCAGCAAGAGAGCGCAGCCGGAGTAAACCAGAGGTTCCGCCCCCATCCCTGTTAGCCCGTGGTCCTGCAGAGGCAAGAGGGCTTTGGTGCCTGTAGACAGGCCTGGCGATGCCTCCAGAGCTGCCTTGAGATGACATCCAGGGTCCCTTTATGCAGCAGTACCGGAGTGGGGGGCTGCTTCTGTTGTGTTGCTGAGTGGCTGCCTCCTTCAGGGGTCTTTGTAAGGGGACAGCATGGAGAGCCTGCACTGGGCTGGGCAGTCTGGGTGCTGCCTGCACCGAGGGTCGAAACTCACCTGAGTGGAGGTGTAGGGGAGGTAGGAAGCTCGTCCCAGGTCACCCCCACTGCCCAGCAGGTGCGGAGTTTGCACCAGCAGTGCTCGGCTCGTGCCCTGACCTGACAGCGCACCCCGAGGCACGGTGGGGTGGGCCCCAGATGGCGCAGCCTGGCTCCTACGCTGGGGGAGAGGGCCCAGCAGAGGGGAGGGCAGGGGCTGACATCACCTGGGGTCCCACAGCCACCTGCCTCTAGGGGAGCGAGTGGCCGGGGCCAGCCGAGTCTCCAGTCCCCTACGCTCTGCCTCCCATCAGGCAGCAAAACCACAACAAGCTGTAGTGACGTTTGACGGGTGTGGGGAGAGGGGCAGGGAGGAGGATCGTTGTCCCGGAGTGTCCATGTTTGTATGATTGTCTTTCAGGAGTGTCCAAATGTATGTCTGTATGCTCAGTCTGGACATTTGTTTTACTAAAAATCAAGACCAAAAACAAGGCCGGCCGCCCCAGGGAAGGCCACTGAGCAGGCAGCAGGGAGGTCGCATGGCCTAGGGGAAAGGCCCCAGCGAGTCTGGGACTCTCGCACCAGCCTGCCCCAGGGACCTCCTGCAGCGCCCAGAACCACAAGCTCAGCCTCAGGGTCCACCCGTGCAGTGGCTGCAGCACCAGAGCGATTCCCGACTCCTGGGCTCACGTGCGCTCCACTGACTCACCAGGTCCACGGACGGTGGGCTTGTGCTTCTGCACGTTCTGTCCTCTCCCCGGGAAGAACGACAGTACTCCTCTAAGGGTGTCACCAGAGGTGGGGTTCCCTGCAGCAGGAAACAAGCCCGCTCCGGCTGCTATCAGGGGCCTGGAGAGACCCGCCACGGCCTCCATCCGCTGCCCCACAGGCAGCTGCTGCTCAGGGCTCCCCTTCACTCAGACGGGAGAAGAGGGCATTTTCCTGTCTCAGCCCTGTCCCTGGAGACTCGGCAACTCCATGCTGAGACCCCCAGAGGCGTGCGAGCGCCTGCCCAGACAGCATCCCCGTGGTCAGGAGTCAGGTGCAGCGTGGCATAGCTGCATGGCCTCCCTGTCTGAACTTCCACGGCAGAACCTGGGTCCTCCGCGGTCTTCCGGGGCAGACGGCAGGCAGGCCCGAGCTGACCCTGCAGCAAGATGCTCCCGCCAGGCCCGGAGCATCTACCCCTAGAACCTCCCACCCCCTGCTTCCTGAGCCGGCTCTGTCCTGCGACGAGCTTCTCTTTTGAGCCTCAAGCCTCTTTTCTCTCTGCCCCTTCCAGATCTTGTCCACTTCGATATCCCCTCGATCCACATAGAGCTCGGATCCACGCTCCGCCTGAGTCCCCTGGAGCACATGCGGCGACACTCAGTAACTGACAAGAGGGACTCGGAGGAAGAGTCTGAGAGCACCGCCCTCTGACACGGCACCCGTCCCCCCGACACGTGTACATAGCTGCGTGGGCCCTCGAAACGCCGCGGGAGCAGTGCCCCGTGCTGGCCCCGCGTGCTCCCCGCTGGCCCTCTCCTGTCACTGTCACTGTCACTGCCGGCGTCAGGCTGGAGTTTGGCGGGGAATCGTGCTCTCCAGTTCGTGTGGCAAGTGTTGGTGGTGCGGATTTTGTTCATTCCTTTCCGGTGGTGACTTCGGCCTTTTGTTTGCCCTTTGCCTTTTGACTTTGTGCCTATTTCGATCCACTTTCAGCCTCCATGCCAAGCGACACCTCCGGGCCCAAGGCCTTGCTTGTCAGGAAATGTCCTTGGTGGGGTGTGGGGTACAGGAGAGGGATGCCTATGGGTTCTAACGTCGGCCCCGTGGTGTCAGCTTAGTGGCCACGGAACAGGAACGGGACGTGGGGGACCCTCTCATTTGCAGCTGGACTAGGTCTGGAATTCCCTGTGTCCTGGGGCCCGACCTTTGCCTGCTGCTCGGTGGGAGAACCAGCCGGTGTGAAACCATCTGTCCTGAGAAAGCTCCAAACTGAATGGCTTTGGGTGAGGTGTGCTTCACTTCCTAGCAGTTTTACTTCATCCCCCATAGTTTTACACTTCTGCATTCGAAAACTGACTTGATGGTGCCTGGAGGGCCCAGCCAGTAGCTCCCCAGGCCCCCTGTGGGGGATCTGAGAGCAGCCCTGCCTCTCTAGGCACCCAGAGGCAGCCAGCTTGTAGGTATGTCCTTTCTCGGCACCTGTCTCTTCTTTCTGGAGGTTACAAATGAAGAGCAATAATCCTTTTACCCAAAGCATGTGGAGGAACGAGAGTAGCCCACAGAGACCCCGGCCCGTTCCGTGGCCTGCCTCGCTCACCAGCATCCGCCGCTCACCCCTTCCCACAAAGTCCCATCCGGTCACAGGGCGGGGGATCGGGAAGGCAAGGGGGTCCTGTTCTCACTTTGGGATGAAGAGAAGCAGAGTGGGGCCATGCATGCCAAGTCAAAGTTTAAAATTTTATCCTTTTAAAATAGATATAATATACCTATACATGATATAATATTTGTATATATGAAATCTCTATATTTGTTTAATTTGAGCCATCCAACCTAAACCAGTGTACAGGTGTACAATGAAAAATTTAAATGCTTAGTTATTTTTCCCAGCGCGGTGGAAAGTCACCCTTCTGAGAGTGGGACTGGCAGACTGGATGTTAACGGCTTTGCTCACTTCCTGGCAAGGGCGGTTCAATCCCCAATTTGTAACAGAGCCCCAGGGGTTGAAAGTTCTCTTTAAATACATGTACAAATTGTTGTCAAAAGTAACGTTATTAAAATAGATTTATTATCCCTGAGCTTGGAATATGTTCTTATGGTCCTAATAAACCTGCGGGGACACAGCCATCGATGTCATGTGCTACAGTAGGAGGAAGCATGAAGGTCACCACTAGGTCAGGCAGGTCCTTGGTCTGTGTGTCTCATCACCTGACTTTTTAAAGCTCTTTCTGTATTCTCCTGGGTAGAGAAAATACACAGATAAATACAAGATTCAGTTCTGAAATTCTCTTGATTTTTGAGCATTAACCTGTTCTTAACTCCTGCAAGGACAAAGGAGTCAGCTCAGTGTGACACTCCTTGCTTTTTTTTTTTCTTTAGGGGAGGAATTTTTGGTATAGGGCTTGTGCATTTGCCAGAGACAGAGACAGAAAGCGAGGAATCACCCCCAGGGAGGATGGCCATGCCACAATCCCTTCTCCATTTTCTCTCGGGACTTTGGGCATGCATGCACACGTGCCTGGCCTGAGTTTCAAGCCACTGGGTCCGAGACTCAAACCGCAGTTGACCTTGGGAATCCAGCGATGTAACCATTATGCCACCTGCTGGTCCCATTCCTCGGCACTTGCAACAGCAAAGAGCAACTCCTATTTTCCTTGTGAGGCAAGGAGACACTGGCCTCCCCCTTGACCCAGAACTGAAGGGGGGAAGATGCCACACCGCCCACTTGGGCTCTCAGTAGGATCCTGGGAAACCGCCCATGGGACACGCCAGCTCAGCTTGACTTCTCTCTAAAGACACGGCCAATGAGTGGTGCTGGCTCGCTGGACACAGGCTCAAAGGTCCTCCCTTACGATGGGAGCTGGCTCCAGGGCACCTGGCAGCCATGAGGCTGGGGCGGGGTGAAGCGAGAGAACTCAGGATTCCGCACCTTTTACCCAAAGCATGTGGAGGAACGAGAGTAGCCCACAGAGACCCCGGCCCGTTCCGTGGCCTGCCTCGCTCACCAGCATCCGCCGCTCACCCCTTCCCACAAAGTCCCATCCGGTCACAGGGCGGGGGATCGGGAAGGCAAGGGGGTCCTGTTCTCACTTTGGGATGAAGAGAAGCAGAGTGGGGCCATGCATGCCAAGTCAAAGTTTAAAATTTTATCCTTTTAAAATAGATATAATATACCTATACATGATATAATATTTGTATATATGAAATCTCTATATTTGTTTAATTTGAGCCATCCAACCTAAACCAGTGTACAGGTGTACAATGAAAAATTTAAATGCTTAGTTATTTTTCCCAGCGCGGTGGAAAGTCACCCTTCTGAGAGTGGGACTGGCAGACTGGATGTTAACGGCTTTGCTCACTTCCTGGCAAGGGCGGTTCAATCCCCAATTTGTAACAGAGCCCCAGGGGTTGAAAGTTCTCTTTAAATACATGTACAAATTGTTGTCAAAAGTAACGTTATTAAAATAGATTTATTATCCCTGAGCTTGGAATATGTTCTTATGGTCCTAATAAACCTGCGGGGACACAGCCATCGATGTCATGTGCTACAGTAGGAGGAAGCATGAAGGTCACCACTAGGTCAGGCAGGTCCTTGGTCTGTGTGTCTCATCACCTGACTTTTTAAAGCTCTTTCTGTATTCTCCTGGGTAGAGAAAATACACAGATAAATACAAGATTCAGTTCTGAAATTCTCTTGATTTTTGAGCATTAACCTGTTCTTAACTCCTGCAAGGACAAAGGAGTCAGCTCAGTGTGACACTCCTTGCTTTTTTTTTTTCTTTAGGGGAGGAATTTTTGGTATAGGGCTTGTGCATTTGCCAGAGACAGAGACAGAAAGCGAGGAATCACCCCCAGGGAGGATGGCCATGCCACAATCCCTTCTCCATTTTCTCTCGGGACTTTGGGCATGCATGCACACGTGCCTGGCCTGAGTTTCAAGCCACTGGGTCCGAGACTCAAACCGCAGTTGACCTTGGGAATCCAGCGATGTAACCATTATGCCACCTGCTGGTCCCATTCCTCGGCACTTGCAACAGCAAAGAGCAACTCCTATTTTCCTTGTGAGGCAAGGAGACACTGGCCTCCCCCTTGACCCAGAACTGAAGGGGGGAAGATGCCACACCGCCCACTTGGGCTCTCAGTAGGATCCTGGGAAACCGCCCATGGGACACGCCAGCTCAGCTTGACTTCTCTCTAAAGACACGGCCAATGAGTGGTGCTGGCTCGCTGGACACAGGCTCAAAGGTCCTCCCTTACGATGGGAGCTGGCTCCAGGGCACCTGGCAGCCATGAGGCTGGGGCGGGATGAAGCGAGAGAACTCAGGATTCCGAACTCGATCTTTATTGTGTCGGTGTCTCTGCAAACACTGTTCCTTGAACCTCAGAGCTCAGACCCAGCGTTCCTGTTACTTGCTTGTCTCTGGCCAGCACAGGAAAGCCCTCTGCTGGTGGAGTGAGGGTGCAGCCCTATCTCTCCATGTGACTTTTTAAAAACCGACTTGGGCTGGGATGGCAGCTATGGAGCCCGCCTGCCTCCTGCTTGGCAGCCTGTCCCGCAAGCCTCCTGCAGACAGAGCTTCCCTGCAAGGCCGCACCACGCCCAGCTGTGCACCTCCCTCCTCCGGTGCCTGGTTGGATTGTGTGCTCCAGGTGCCTCCAGGTGCCGTGCGCGGGATGGCGATGCACCATCCCCACAGTCCGGGTCACTCCCCAGCCTCACTTGGCTCGGGCCTTCTTGCTCTGGGGGCTCTGTGGCTGCTCAGTGTGGGCCCGTTTCTGCTGGGGCTCTCTGTCCTCTGGGCCGTCCACCTGCTCCTTGGAGAGGAGAGATGCCCGCACCAGCCGCAGCTCCCGCTTC